AGAGAAATTAAGCCAAGAAGTCTATACTGGGGCCTGGGAGATAGCTCAGTAGAATAAGTGCTTGCCTAGCAAGCCCATGGGCCCGAGTTCAATCCCTAGTGGTGGGGGGGTCTATACTCAGAGTTTACATTTGTGGTGACACTAAAAAATAACCACTATGGGGTCAGGGAGATGGCTCAGTGGAATAAGCGCTTCCCTGGCAAGCGCAAGGGCGTGAGTTCAATCACCAGTTCCACCAAAAATTAAAAAATAATAATAAAATAAAAATAACCACTAATCCGGGCCGGGGAGATGGCTCAGTGGAATATGCGCTTTCCTGGCAAGCACAAGGACCTGAGTTCAATCCCCAGTTCCACCAAAAAAAAAAAAAAAGATTTAGGGGCTGGCCAAATAGCTCAGCGGATTAAGCCCGTCACCGTCACCGATCCCCAAGCCTGCTGTGCCAGGCCCTCTGTGCTGGCCTGCCCCAGAGGCACACTGAGACAGCAACTGAGACTGGGTATGGTGGCGCGCGCCTGTAATACCAGCTCTTGGGAAGCTGTAAACAGGTGGATCGCTAAGAGTCCAATCTAGTAGTGTGACACTGAACACCCTATAGACCCTTCCCTAAAATACAAAAAAAAGTAGGGCCTTTGCACTGAAATACAGCCTTAGGCCTTTTTTTCTTTTATAAGATAGCCTCTTCTTGGAGATGTAGCCCAGCAACACAGCACCTGCCTTGCAAGTATGAGGTACAGTTTGAATCCTGACATGAGGAGCAGACAGACAGACAGCCACAAAAAGGGAGGGGGAGGGAAAAGTCACTCATCATGTAGTCCAGACTGACCTCAAACTGCACCAACCCTTCCTCAGCCTCCTGTATGCTGGAGGTACCACCACACCCAGAATTTCATTCTTTATTTCTAGAGGTCTGACTAAATAATTAACTACCTAGGCTCAAATCTCTGATCCTCCCACCTCAGCTAATTCACTCAATGAATCATCGTAGAAAATTCTTGGTCCAGGGGCCGGGGAGATAGCTTAGTAGAATAAGCGCTTGAGTTCCTGAGTTCAATCCCCAGTTCCACCCAAAAAAAAAAAAAAAAAAAAAATTAGCTATGCAAATTAAAACTGGACATATACTTTGATATTTTGATAGTTTGTACCTATTTTCTGAGACAGGGTCTCACTTGGTAGTGCAGGCTAACCTTAAACTTGTAATTCTGACATCCTCCAGAGTTCTGGGATTACATATGTGTGTCATAAGGCCTGGCTAAACTGTACCTACTTTTTTTAAAAAAATTATTTATTTATGTGTGTGTGTGTGTGTTGCCAGCTCAGCCCACCAGGGGGCGGGGCTGGCTGGCATGTGGTGCTGGGGGATTGAACCGCAGTCCCTGTGCTTTGCTAAGCTTGTTCTAAGTAGGTGCTTTAGACCACTGAGCCATCTCACCAGCCCTATAGCACAATGTTAAAAGCTTTTATCTTTAGTTATTGTTGTTCATCTCTTACTGTTCATCTCAGTTTTGTTTTGTTTTAGAGTAGG